CTACAAGTACCGTCTCGTCTATTGACTCATGATTTGGTGGCGTTACTGCCATCGCGTCAGCCGATTGCACCTCAGCGGCCCGACGCGCCACACTTGTTCATGTGAAAGGGGGATATTTTGAACTTAACATCACGGACTTGAACCGATATTGACGAGTTTGAGAGATTGATCGACTGCGACTGCAACGGATACAAAATCGTTTAACCGTTCAAACGGTTTTAGAACGTACTCAAACGGTTAAACGGTCTGACATGCATAAACGTTTTAAACGGAACGAACGAACGACCGAACGACCGAAAGTGCCCATGTATGAGATTGCTATCGGTGTACCGGAGATGTCTGCTAGGCACTCCGGTGCCAACATCGCAGCTCAGGTTCTCGAGGTAATCGACGAGCACGGAATTCGGGATAAGATTGGTTACTTCACCCTGTATAATGCGGAGAACAACGATATACCATAGACGATATCGGGAAGAATCTTGGCTTTGACGGCAGGAGGAGGCGAGGTCGTTGTTTCGGCCATATTCTGAATCTCTCCGCCAAAGCACTAATGTTTGGAAAGAGCGTACATGCTTTTGAGAAGCGGCTGAGGGGTGAGGCTATGTTGACCGAAACCGAATACGAGCTCTGGCAGAAGCGTGGTCCAGTTGGAAAGATTCACATTATCGTGACTGAGATCCATCGCTCAGACCGGTTGACGTACATGCTTCGAGACCTTCAACTAGACGACATTAACAAGGCATCGGGTCCGAAAATACGAGCGAGGAAGCCTTTGTCCGTTATCGTCGATAATGATACACGTTGGCTTTCGCAACTGTATATGATTCGCCGTGCGCTTCAACTACGCCCGTATCTCGCGATGTTACGAGTCAAGCCAAAATTACAATGGGAACAGGGGGAGAAGCCAAAACGCTCCGTCACTGGCAGGAAGCCACTGGCAATGCCACATCTGCCGCCCAGAGCTTGAGGTGACAAGCAGCGACTGGGACGTTCTCGAACACATGGTCACAATCTTAGGCCATTACGAAAATACCGTCAAGACACTTGAAGGAGATGGCATCACCAGGAAGCGCAAGAAGGGATATTGTGGGTCCTATGGTAATATCTGGGACGTAATTCATGGTTTTGAGTATCTTCTCGAGATTCTTGAGTACTACAAATCAGTGGCAGGGGACTTTTCAGAGCCTGAGCATTTTAAAGTTGGCATAAATATGGCCTGGGAGAAGCTGGAGAAGTATTACTCCAAACTTAACGAGACCCCAATTTACTATGCCGCTCTCGCTTTTCACTCAGCGTACCGGTGGAACTGGTTCATGGACCATTGGGCAGAACGAGCGGAATGGATTGAGGAGGCAAAAGGTATGGTTCAAGAGGTGCGGGTAAACAGCTACAGCGATCTTGATATCGTGAGGAGTACGGACAAGGACGGGCCTGTGGTGAAACGTCAGAAGCGATATTACAACGCGTTCGAGGATCATTGCTTCAAGGCTCGCCAGAAACCTACGGCAAATAGTGGCATCATGGGACCGTTCAATGACGAGTATGAGG